GAAACTGACCACCGAGTCGTATCAAACATAAACACATTATCTTTGTTCAGTTTAACAGCGCGAATCGATCTCATACACACCGTTAAAAATGTTTGAAAATTATCAGCTACCGGTGCCATCATATCTGTTTTTTTACTTTTTCTGGTAAGTACAATAATCTGATTTTAAAATGTATGACTGTTATCATGTTACCATAACGCTGAATTTGTGCGGGGGATGGAGCTGTTTAAAATATTTAGGATCTTGAAAATACTAAATACATGTGGAACATTAATACATGTTATACCTTCATTCACAAATAATGGCTCTAACTTCTTTCATGATTAAATAATCTTCAGAATTACAAATATTTAAGATTGAGGTGATCACCACTCAGCTAGATAATCTTTCTACATTCACTGAGTTAACATACATCAACTATAAAACACCGTAACGTGACCTTCTCAGTGGAACGCATCAATCTCGACGCGGTACAGGGAAGAGGCAGGTAATAGCGGGTTGTATTGACTAATGAAAGGGGTAGAAAACAGGTGTGAACAACGTAAACATTGTAGCTACCTCGATACGGGTAATATAACACAACTTGTTAGTAAGACTCAGTAACTCTATTTTACAGGCCACCCAGGAGACTGCACATGTTTTCGTTACGGTGAGTCGCGAATTATTTGGCTGAAATGAGAATATATTTGCAACAAACACTGCAACATTTGTTTTCAATTACACGTAACAAATTGGACGATATGAGGCATTGAAAAGTGTGTATATACATTAAATACCATTCAGGGGGCTTGGAAAATAAGGAAAGGTCGAAGTATCATCCCAACATATGGTCTCAGGATCATGAAAACGTCATAGACTTGTATTCAAAAATCAAATGTCAACAAAATGGATAATTCTCGTGGAAATGTATCTAAACTTGATGAAAAAAAATTACTTGCAATAACAATAGTCAATAAATGCAAGAAAATTATATATTTGTTCAACAAGATAAAGTAAACAGCAATGAATGTTGAATCTTGATGAAAGTTTATATCAGTCTAAGAATCCGGGATCTGAATTGTTGTCCTAAACATCAACAGTGGATGATGCAAACCATTACTGAGTTATCAAGACATATGCATTTCACACCAATAAATGTAGGGGTGAATGAGCTAACAGACCAATATGATGCTGATACGTTAAACTTATCTGAATATTGTCATTGGGGGAGGAAAATAAACGAGAGCATTAATATATAACGACAAAATCGAAACGAAAGGAAACAATAATGTGCACGTGAACCATGGCGACAACGGACCAAGAACAAGCCATCATGAACCCATGTATAGTATAATGTTATAACCTTCATCGGGGTCTGTAATTGTAACAGATTTGCTTCATTGGTCTATTTCACATTACATCGTGGAAACAATCAAAGCGGAACCGTTAACCAAAACATTTGTTTTAATTTCAATGGGAAAAACAAATTGTTAACATAATGACAATGACTCTGTGGTCCAGTTTCAAAAATGTTTAGAGAGTTATTTTTTAGGCATTGCTGTCCTACAAAACACGCTAAATCTAATTGATCAAAGCCAATTAAAAATATGTCTTATATATCAAAGTAACCTACCACTTAAAAATTACTTAATGGCGGAGCAACTCTTACTTAAATCCCTGACGAAAGCGTGACTAATTTTGACGTTAAATTGAGCACTGTATTAATTGAATATATGTGCTAGTGACACGATAGCATGTTCAATTGGCCATCCAATAAGTGACAAAAAACTTCTCTAGCTCCAAGTTCAAACTTCTCTAGCTCCAAGTTCAAACTTCTCTAGCTCTCTAGCTCCAAGTTCAAACTTCGCTAGCTCCAAGTTCAAACTTCTCTAGCTCCAAGTTCAAACTCCTCTAGCTCCATGTTCAAATTTCTCTAGCTCCAAAGTTCAAACTTCAGCCTACTACCAAATACTATTTTTGAATGTGTCTGAAAAACTGTGAATTTTAATGTTTATTACTCGACTTATGTTATTTGAAATTAAGCAGAAGTAAATTTTGTTTCAACAGCGACACTTTACAGAGTTAAACGTCATGGTACTGTGTCGTAATGCTAATGTACTATTATACAACTTGAACTATTATTGCACAATCCTAGATAAGAACGTAAGTCATATTTTTGAAATAGATTATATTTTAATCAAGTTCCAAAGATCGAAGTTGAATCCCGAAATGTATAAATTTATGTTTAAATTCCGAAATATCATAGATTTAAAGTAAGTCTTTCATGTGTAACATTTGTCTATTCATCTTTGACGCTTTGTACAATTTGGGCTAGACTGATTATACAAGCGTGCTGGTCACTAGAGTATCACCACCAGTTATCTAGTCGCTATAGAGCACTGCTGTCCTGACAACACGTGTCTCTGTCCGTCGTTACGGTACGAAGGTGAGATGTGTATCGACATACAAATATTCAGAACACACCGACATAACCCCAGAAATTAACAATCTGTGATATACGCTGCAGTGAACTGGAAAATATGTTTAGTGATTAATAGCCAACTTAAACATCCTTCAAAGACAGAATTCGTCATATATCCTTCCGGATTTATATAACGTTTTGTAATAAGACTGATACGTTTCTGATTTATGGAGTCCTAATTAGTGGATGATTACAGTTAATTAAGGGTTGATTAGTAGTTATCGGCACGTATAGATTAAACACTTCAGTTTATTGAATCGCTTTAGAAAATCTACAACATCATAACCCTAATTCAGGAGCAGACTAACAATGTGACACAATGTTGTTGGTAGTCTTTAATATAAGTTTCGTCGCTGTTCCCAGACAGAAACTGTAGTTTGTCAATCCATCGTGGTTAATATTTTATTACCCATTTATTAACCTCAAAATAATTTCCATATAGTTACTTTTATGATAATGTCTATAAAGCTTTAGTATTTAGTCTTTTGGCTGTCACAGTGACCTCTCTCTACCGTCGTAAAAGAAAATTTGATAAATCCAAGTCGTACTTGATACCCTTCGTACTATTAAAGGAGACACTAGACTATACAAATAATAAATACATTGTTGAAATTGGTAATAACACTTTGTTTTATTCTTTTCGGATGGTACACGGGGAAATTTATGTTATTGTATTATTTGGTAATAATTGTCATAACTTATCATTAAAGGGTAAAAAATGTGAAACCTTCTGACAATTGTAAACGGTCTTTAATGTAAATGGATCATGAATGTAAATGTAATCAAATTCAGGTTTTCAAGTAAACACTTAAAGAAATAATTCATATTACGATAGCTATTATTCCCTTTATATTAAAGGGATATCATTATGAAATGTAATTGCCGACAGTCATGAAAGTACACAAGCTTAACTTTGCGTTACTCTTTATATACTTTCAACTGACAAAAATATTTTGGTTCCCTGTATACATTGACATTGCTGTATGTAGATTTTGTAATAGCAGTCATGACTTGTTGTCCTCCATGTTAAGTACTGTCTAACTGAATATTGATTTATAGTGTTTTTCTGGGTTTTTTTTATATATTTATTTGGTCATTGCTGAAAGATTTAAATATTAGAATTTTGTAGTTTTCGCTATATGACCTGATCATTTAAAACAAATCGTCATCACTATATAACGTCACTTTTTCAATGAACATCAGAAGCGTGATACTTAAAAGAACCCGTTGTTTTGTACCTGAAAATTATGTTTTGAAAGTTGTGATTAAAAATAATATCGACGTCACTTTGACTTAACATGTTGTTGCGATTGAATCATAATTTAAGTAAGAAATACGACAAGAATAAGGGGTACGGCGTAAGGATTGTCATACACGTTACTCACAATGTATCAATGTAGGAAATGAAGAAGGGCACGTTGACTTTCATTGTAACAGATCTGAGTGTGTACTGAAGCAGCCGTCTGTTCCAATACGCTCCTTGGTCATAACCGTTATGCTGTCTCAGCGCCAAATATGTGTATCCCCGATCAGCAATCTAATTCTACGCTATGTGTGTTATGACACCTCTATTCACGCCCCTGTTTAAATATCTGTATGTTGGCATTATATTCGCTGTATCATTGATAGTATACATGTAGCAATTCACCAAGTGTGAAATATCATCGGGGCCCAGATGTTTATAATGATCACGATAGATGAGTAGGGATCATTTTCATTTTATATCTTAGTCCCGTTGAAACAAAAACAGAAAAATATATAAGAAACCAAAGAGTACCCTTTTAAGACGGGTTATCCCTAAACTATTACCTACCTCCGTTGAAATCTTTTTCTTAACATATATATAAAAAAAAACATGTCCTACAAATAAATCATCATTTTCATAATTTTACGAAAAAGTACAAATGTATTTTGATTTTTAAGGCATTTTATGCATGTGATAAACATGTAAGTCAGGATAATGGTCGAGCGGCTTCTAATAAAAGTCACCGATCCTTAAAATTGCCACTTGCGCATAGTCGGTGTGGCAAGCGGTAGCACTCGGTGTGTTAATGTGAAGAATGATTATACACAGATTTGCAGCTTGGTGCACTTCACATACCACACTGGGGAATGAATGTCAAGACACAATAACCTCACACTATGCAGCCGACGCAAACAAAAAGGGTTTTGTCTTCAAATTTATTTTCGTTTTGTCGTGAGTACGCATGTGTTACATTGTAAGTGCACTAAATGGGCTTCAAAATGACCATCTAGTAATAGAATTTTTTTAATGAATTACAGTATTTTTTATAAGAATAGTCTTTGGAAGTCTAATCTATTTTTATTTTAGCTGACAAAGCTCTATGTAGCAGACCTAAGCGTTATGTATGTATACAGTGCTATAACAGGGAGCAGTGTACGGTGATCCTAGCGTATTGTAGAAGGCATTTAACAGTCCACATGTTAAACACATTAAAGTAACAGAATTACCTTACGATTCAACAATCAACTGTTTATGTTACTATATATGTGTCGTTAAAAGTTGTGTTATACTTACGTGCGTTTACAACGTTGACTAACGTGCCCAAAACAGCCAATCCGGTTATCCACCCCATTCTGTCTGAAATTGAAAAGAAATGTTACAACATGTATTCACTTTGTATCAGTAAGAAAATGCATTGATTTGGCATTATGCTTTTATTTTTTCAAACATAATTGAAAAGGGTGTCGCGGTAATATCGATTTCAAAATTTGTCACTGATTTGCAAAAGAAAAACATATTTGTGTTATGTAGAATTAATTATAAAGCCAAGTTTCAAAGATTTTACAACGCGATACACGATTTGATACATTGCGTTATGCTATCAATAGTTCACATCTCATAGCATAGACTGTCAACAATAGCAAACTCAAAGAAAAACCTAAAATGGTGCATATCGCAACCTGTGTCCAAGCACTTCGTTATCAATTACGACACAGAGGCTATAGACAGATTTATCATTAACAGTATTGAGTTGTCTTCTAACGAAGGGAGATAGTGTACCACTAGGAACGGTATTTATACCTATACACATACAGTACGAAACAGATACTTATCTCCGTCATGATCAGGTGTAAGACACGTGGAGTGATTTTCTAATTACCACAGTGTCAGAATTCTCGTTAGTAAAACCATGTCGCCAGTGTAAAGGATCCCCCTCTACACTAGCACGGTAACTAAAGTATGCATTACGCCGTGTCCTACAGAAGTAGCCCATCATTTTAACACAAATTACAAAACCTGAACACTCATGGATGACAGAAAGCATTCAACAGACGACACACTAAAGAATTTCACAACATAATTATAAAGTATGAAATGTAGCAATTGTCTTTTCCGTGTTGGTTTCTAAAATGACTTTTTATACAATGCTGTGTTTTCATTTGTCAAAAGAAAAGAAACAGTGTATTTATGTTCATTGCTATACTTTATTGACAATGGTTTTGTTCGTTAGCATACTTCTCAATGAGTTATGGCTGTTGGTTTCGGGTTTTTTGTGTCTAGTGTTCATGGCATTGTTGTTTTGGTTGAGCAGGTGTACACCATGCTGAGAACATTCCACATTTGAAATAAAATATATTTCTTTTATAGCCAATTCAGGGTTAGGTTGTAAAAGTCCAACGCAGCAAATGCTTTTATAGTAAACATAAAAAAAACTGGCGTATGCGTACTCTCAGACAAGGAAAACGATACAATTCTGAAACACAACTAAAAGGGTATCAACACAGTCTCGAGCATGGCAGCACTTATTTAAGATGCTACTTATTCCGTTTTTATGCTGTGAAGTCAACATGTCACTTTTTATAACCCTTAACACTGTGTTTTCTTGTAAGGAAAGATTCATATCTCAAAAGGGATATCTTAATCAGTTCTTGAAAAAAAGTAGGATAACTGCCTGCATAGATCAACATATGATACTAAATATTTCCTTTCACACGTTCAAAAAAGACGAAGGACAAATGCCATTTACGGTAGGAAACATACTGATGATGTCAGCAAAAACAACTGCATTCTTCTTCCAAGTAACGAAACTTCTTGTTTAACAATCTGCATTCATACCGTTATAATAACAAAAGTAGCGTTCTATCTGTATATTTATTTAGATTCCAAACACTATTGTTCCTTTGATTGAAACGAGTCCCTTATTTATTAGTGTAATTGGCATGTGTTATTTCGATTACGCGATGTTGGACGAACAGCACTAACGCAATCTTAGTCACTTGAACTATTCATTCTACCCTAGTCACGGTGTTTTTTGCAGCGTTTTGTCAAGCGTCATTTTGACTACTCTGATATAATTGTATAACCAACCTGCGTGAAACAATTTGTATTTAAAGCGCTATGAAGGCGAGTTTCATTCTGGTTGGGTCAAGTAATGATCATGGTACGTAAATGTCAATATGTTCCTACCGCTTAAGCTTAAAAATTACCAAACTGCACATATCATCTCGACAAATTGAGAATATCAGACGATTGCTATGTCAAATTCGCAACCTGCTTGTGGGAATTCTTTCTATCATTGAAATAAAATCACATGAACACGTTAACATAGCACGTGCAAGCTTCTCTGGTGTTTCTCTCGCAAGCGTTAATTTCACCCATATCTATCACAGAGGTTTCCAACACACGCTAATACACATTTATCTTAAATGTCAGAAAAATGTATTATAAACCTATTTCACATATATCTAATTAACCAGATTATAAACTTAACCCACTGAATAATTTTAATACAGTATCATAACGCAGTTTCTCCTCATATTGGAATTTGGTATAACACTAGCATTTTATTCGTACGAAAGGTATAACGGTACAAACAGAAATTCCGTTAATGTTCTTACAATTTTAATTCTTATAAAAAATCAATTGAACTATAGTTGAAGTGGTTTCATATGTTGTCTTTCCAAATATTTTTTTCAAGTACATCGTAAGTTACAAGCAATGATATGTAAAATAAACCACATTGTCAACACATCAAGACAAATCCGATGTAAAATTTGATACGTAAACACAACAACGGTTTAAGGTGAAGAGATATATAACGTAATGGAAGGACATCATTCAATCACCCAATTCCATGCAACAAGCACGGGACCTGTCAACCTGTCTAACGTAATATCTAGAAGGGTATGGAGATCAGTTATGTTCTTAAATCACAGTCAACAAACCTTTCATGATTGTAGGTCGTGTTTGCAGACCGATTCTTTCCCTACATAGATCAATGCATTAAAGAATAAATACTCCTTACATAATGCTCAGTCAACAGAACACATCGCCCAAGAAAATCTAATTTTACGTCAGGTATTTTGAGATGATACACCATGTTGATATCCTCCAAACATCACCCTTTTGTTTAAAAGTTTACTCATGATCTGCTGTTTAGTTAAATTAATTTTTACACTGTAAAAATAAAACTAAGATAAACATAAGACAGTCTTTTGAATTCATTTTACTCGAGTTGTATATTCCGTTCTGACGTTTATTTGTTTCGCTAGGTTGGAGAGTTTTTGTAGAGGATGATAAGTCGGTTTAGACTTCTGGTAGTTATCTCTGTGTAGCTTACCCAACTTCATCACGAAAAAGCAAAAAGCAAAAAGCAAACTAAATGCTGTAATATACTTAATTTATCAACATCAAATGCGGTTTAATGCTATAACTACGAACTTGAAATTGATATAAAACCATCCCGATGGCAGATTAAAAGGCTTTACTCTTTCCTTGATTACGCGGTATCTGCAAATTTAAAATTGTGCGGAAATTGATATTTTCAAGGCCATGCTCTAGTTATATCATATTCATAAATATTTTGACGTATATAGAGACTCTAAGAAGGCAAAATCACGATTATAAAGACGTATCATATAACATACTTGTTTAAGAATATAAAATTAAGAAATGACCGTGTAAAATGTCATATTCACGTTCTTGGAAACTGATGAAACCGATTTATATGGCAGCAATATAGTTTACATCAACTGAGACAAGTTCTAAATATTACCACAGAGGCATTGCAGAAGGACAACGTCGGAACTCAAAGACACACTCAAGTGGAATACATGGAAGACTTAACGGACTCTTACAAACAAAAATCTGAGGGTAAAAGCAGGTGCTCTCATAAGATTAAGTGTGAATAGCACCACAAATGACACTCAAGTAACAAATAACTTGTCCAGATGTTTTTTTCTCTACTCATATTACCACCGAACAAAACTTTTCATTGACTATGTTTCAAGATCATAAATTGAACCTTACACTGAACAAGAGGTGTCATATTCTTACTGGGAATATTAAAACAATCAGACATATTTAATGAATGCCATAAATGCTTATTTTTTATTAGTGTACACGCTACATTAGGCTCTAGAATATGTACCGAGTTCCACGTGTTCTGGAAACCCTTACTCTTATCATCTACATCTGCTGAAGGTCAGACAAATTGAACTTGAGAGTCTTGCTGAGTTTGATGGAAGGTCGCAAAAATGTTTGGTTCTATGGTGTTGCTGCGGTTGTATTTATTATTCCACACAAAGTATGAGTGTGTGGGGGTAATACGGCGCTTATCCAGCTAAATGCTGGGTGTAATCAACATATTAACGACAAAAAGGAATAGTATTTGAGCTAGTTTTACATAACTTCATGGAACGATTCTGATTAACAGTTCATAATTAAATAGTTTATAAACTGTTATCATTGGTAATGCACTAATTTGGCTATTGCTATTCAAATATTATATACTGATTTCGTTTATGGTTATTTGATGTTTTATAACAATGAGCATTTATCAAGATAAGAAAATAAAAAACATGTATATTTACTAGATTATGTTCATCAAAGCAGTATCCCTGATACATCAGCTTGGTGTCAGACCCTTGATAACTAAACGAGAACCACAGCGCCCACAGCATACATAATCTTATTCAATGAAATATAGTCTAAAATGAAAAAAAAGATGAAATTGTATACGTCTGTTTTGTGGCAGTTCCGACAATTTTCTATATCAGCAATTTTCTTTTCAACAGAATTTTAATTTAATCAGCTTCAATCCACACACCTGTTCGACATATATCATATCACTGCACATACTCTGCCAAAGAGATTAGCCACACATCGCCAGTTCTCCGAGCACGCAGCTAAATAACTAGACTACCTTTCTTTTTAAACGGTTTTATCAAACAAGACAGGATTTTCTTTGACACTCCGTGTCATCTTTAATGTTGTCTGCCTGTACGACAAACCTACTTTACGTACTTTGTGAACACAGGTAGACAAGTTCATTTGTCCTGTATTGATGTTGTACTACCTTTTGAATAGTGTTATATTCATTAATTGTTTGTTTTATGTCTTTGAGAGTATCGTATGTTGTAAATCCCATGTTGTATATATCTGAGTAGCTTGTCTGTCAACACTGCTTGTGTTTCGTGATAAAAATAGGGCATTAAAAAAACAAGCTTGCAAGTGAATATAAACCCTTCACTTAAGTATTAAACAAAGGTTCGTGATTTTTATTAGACAGTAACTTATTTACCAAAATATGAGCTATTTTTTCTGTTGACAGTAATTCATTCATCACAATTGATGCATTTTTCTCATACTGATGGTTTTCTGTTTATTGTAAAAGATATTTGTGTCTGAATTCGACAACAAATTTAACAGAATTGCTTGTGTTCTATTTTAACAATCACTTGCCAGTCAAAATGGTTCGCTCTATATTTTGACAGTAGCATATGCTTCAAAATATTTTGTATTTTATATTCTTCCAAAAGAGGGAGGCAATAACAATAAATCCATTGAAATTGGTTTTAAATATATAGATTTTTAAAGTAGGATTAGAGATTTTCTTTTTCTATATACGATGGACAGAAGTTCTCATTTTTCCAGTTAAATATGTTAATATTTCATAGAAAATATAATAAATTTGTGCTTACCTACGATATAAATTATTCCAATAAAATTAATGAGGGGAATTTCCAGTGCATTAAATTTCCTTTTCTTGCTCCTTTCCCCAGAATCACAGTAGCAGACGATAGCCGCCTTGGAAGCCCTATGGTAACAGTCGTTTGCGTAGCGCTCGTCCTGGTCGTTATTCCATGTTTTATATCTTATGTGTGAACCACTGTCTGAAATAGAGAAGAAAAACAAAACGTCAGAGGGGACGGCCTCTGAAAATCATTATTTCTATACAAGTCCCTTCGTTGGCTACGAAGAATTCTTCTGATTGGTTAATTGTGGAGAATGGACGAACAATTACTTAAGCACGAGTAGCTCACAAAAGTAATGTGTTAGCGAGGTGGGTGACTTACGTGAAAACTGAGAAGTTCGAAGAATGATTTTACGGATAGATAAATATGCTATCATAGACCATACCGATCGTCTCTGTTACTAGCTATAAGAGTATGTAGGGATCTGTTCAGACAGACACGCTAAGCTGCATACGTGTAAAACCATGAATGTTACGATAATCCAAATGGGACTGATTTGTGTCCACTGCTTCCTGTGAAAACTCGCTCTAAGAGCATGAAGATGTCGGTATTTAATCCATTATATGTACAGATTGCCGCGCATATCGACACATAATCCCACACAAATAATGACAATTCCACATCTAGTTATAAAAAACAGTTGTGGTCTATTCCACGTGAGAGTTAGGTTTTGGTTCCCAGGTCGGATGTTTTATACTTGTATGACTAACATGATTGAATCACTGACACTACTGTGGGACTACCGTAAAACACTTATATTTACAGTGATACGGGACTATCACCACGCACCACTTCACGATGTAATATCGACATGGCTAAAGCACCCAGCCTACACACATTTAAGCTATATACAGTAAACTATTCCGAATGTTCATAAAACGTATAATAAACTATTTTGCTCGAACCACTTCACAACATAATGTTCTACATACATATAACTACAAGTCGTCCTAATCTCAACACATATAACCACGTGCCCTGATGCGCACACAACATACTTGTATATATAAATCACTGTGAATCAATATTTATCAGATACATTACGTCTGAAACACTGTTATTGCGGCGGCGTCACTAGAAACTTACAACATATCCAGTTTTACGTTAACCCTTACCTTGATTTGCCCGTCAATGGGAGCTACGTTATCACCCACCTGTGTGTTATCTACGATACCTGACATGTGTGCTATATTTATTAGGACCGTAAGCACCTAGAATCTTAACCAGTAGTGATGGCAGTTTAAGTAGTCTGCATTGTAGATTTCAAATTTTAAGGTAGTAAAATAAAAATAAATCTATCCATCTCATAAAATTTGTTAAAGAATCCAAGCAGCATGAAGTGTTTTACTTGCCCTCGTGCGAACACGGGTACCCATCACTGTCGATAGAGCGTCATCGAACCGTGACCGGGATGACGGAAACCCATGTCTATCAATGAAACTGGAACAAGGGGATCTGTTGTAACCTAGGTAGGTACACCGTGAACCTACATCTGTAATAGGAAGGAAGGCGGTGGTAAAGCAAGAAAAGTGTTGGGTAATCACGTTCGGTATACTTTAAGTTAATATTTTTCTTTAAGTGTTACATTCCTTTAAATTATTGCTCTTTGGTCAAGTAGAGGGTTGTGAAAAGGTTGAATGCCAAGGAGGAAAAACATGAGAACGTCGAATTTCAAATAAGGATTTATTACAAGCGTTTCGATTGACCTGACACATGTTACAAACCTGCATAGTATCGCATGTAGTGTATCACACTTTGGTTCTGATAGAAGGCGCCTGTGTAAGTGTAACATAGGTATTTAAGACAATAGCAATAGAACCTGTATTGGACAATCGATACGTCATTGAAACAGTACCAAACATCAAACATTCTTTCTTAAATCTTAGTCCCTCTGTGGAAACTGATCAATAATCAGCTGCCAAAATAAAAGTTCAATATATATATTATCAAAGCAAATCATCAATTAAGCATATCATACTTTATATCAAAGCAAACATTACTTTCTTCTAATTCAGGTGTACAGATCTAGCATTAATCATAAAAAAAAGATGACTCCAAAACAAGCCACAAGTATATTGTTGAAGATCGCGTATACCCTTAAAGCATGAAAATCACTGGTATGATACTCAATGTAGAAAAAGAAAAGAAATCATAGTTTAAATATTTAATCAGACTTTCTCCTTAAGGGAGGTAAGCTCTAACCCAAATAACAGGGTAAGGTACATGCATCGTTAGGAAGGTAGGTCTAGCTCACATTACAGATGAACCGAGTACGGTAACACGCATCCATAGTTAATCTATAAAACTTATTACAGGTACAATGTGTCAGTTAGCATATATCCTTTGGTCATGAGTTTCGTTCTTTTATTTATTATTATTCAATATAGTATTTTAAACAACATAGACGGTTGAAAAGATCGTTCACGTTTTTCAAAAACGCAACTTCAACTTAGGATACGTTAATTTGTACGTTATATTGAAGACTGTGACTGATTTCGACAATATTCGCACTACTTCCAGAAGTACAAGCTGGGAATGTGTAGGAGAAACTCAAAGACTTTGTTTGTTAGTGTGATTACGTGAAATTCCCCAACAGAGACCCAAACAAGTCACGTTTTTTGTTAATACAGTGTATATTACAGTACACTTTATTATGGTACATGCACATATCCAAACAATGCCTAAATTATCCATTGGATACTTTGTGAATCCGTGTGAATGATGTTGCGTGATATGCTTAACTCAAGGACATTAGTATATTCTGCTTATAACGAAAAGAAAGTAATAAAAAAGTAAAGTGCACACTGGACGAGTTTAAAAGAGGAATCTAATGTGTTAATTCTGACAGCAATATTATGTTTTTCCGCCACGCGGACCCTACTGAACAGACAGCACAGATTATCTGTGACAGAAGTCCTAATTACTGCACATGTACATACATTGACAGACGACTACATAATGGTAGCTTGGGGGTATACAATCACTGCTTTGTCATTCCCTAACGTTAAAGTGAGATTTTACTATTCCCTAATATCATATAATTTGAGGCACTCTTATTGTTAAATTGTTTTTTTGTATCTAAAAATAACACTGTTTCAGTTATTCAAATGTTATAACTGATCAGTTCATAACTTTGTTGAAATATATAATCTAAAGACAGGTGTAGGTTCAAATCAATTTGAAACACTCCTCAGAAAATTATGATATTTGTAAGCACATTTTAACAATGAGTTTCTAATAAGAATTTAAAACATGATTTTAAAAAAGTGAGTTCATCTATTAGCACAGTGCATAACTGTATTACCATATACATACTAGAACTTGAAAGTGTTATTTCAATTTTGATAATCAATTAATCATTTAGTTAAAATCAATTGATATCAATCAATAGAATTAAATCTATATATTTTAACACTTATTATGGAAATAGCATAATTTCGAGCATTCGCTGGTAATACCTACAGGCATAGGCAGAATAAAACCTAACAAGAACACATCGAAATTGTTAGACCGATGTTATCTATTCCTATCTTATTGAAATGTCATATTACAATTATCAAATTGATATATCACGGGTATTACAAAGTCATGTCCAACATTACAGTGATCATGTTACTGCTACTAGGATGGAGTATGTCCTAACGGCTACATAGAGAGCAGCTAAGTCGTAACACACCTAGTGGAAGGGGCTATCTACAATCCCAGTCACATCAAATCAAAGAGCATCATAATTCAATACAGTCGCCTTGTTATATCAATGTGCAATAATGTGCAGTATTTTTTAATTCTTTCAAATAACATTATTCCTAAGTGTCCAGTATTTGTCTCTGATACAAAACCACATCCTGTTCGATTTATGATCTGCAGATAGCTTACAGTATAAACTTGTTAATATGTGTCCAGGAAAACTTTAACAGTCTAGTGATGTTTAGGAAGAAATGTACAAAGGACTTCAGTGAAACTGGGCACTGCATCGAGGTTCTGCAATACGTTTAACTACAGCCACATCGTCATTAGGTATCGACAGAATTGCTGACATTTGAATCGTACGTTCAGTACGTACCAAGAGCACCTGTTGGTGGAAGTTCAAGTTTTGGTCTTTGTTTTTGAGTGAAGTGAAATAAAGAATGAATTAGTTGTTACATTTGGATGCATTACGTGGTATGCTTTACACATACATATGCACTGTATGAACCAAGTGTAATCATTTAGTTTCGTTAATGACCGATGATGACGTGATGATGTGCAGAGAATACCACAGGCACGTTGGATCTGATTATATACATATAGGATATCAAATGAGTTTTTATTTCATATGAAATTATATGAAACGAGTCTCAGGAGTTTTAATTTTTGCGAGCCTTGGCGAGCAAAAATTACAACTTCGAGACGAGTTTCATAAAAGCTCATATGAAATGAAAACAAATTTAGGATCCTTTTTATCACATAACTCAGAAAACTTACATTTTGACAGGTTTTAAAGCCAAAATGTAGAGGGCTTTATCAAACGGAGACAGCCATTTTGTTGCGCCATTCTCAATTTATGACGTCACGTGAGTGTCCATATTATGACGTCACAATCGATTTCTGACTGGCATAGCCAATAAAAAACGCCCAAGGGTATATTTCACTAGTGACATACATGTATGTAAAAATATTACACGGGCGAATTCACTGGATAACAGGCCGATTATGTGATAAAAATTACATGTACTTCAACTTTACCAACGTTAGCGATGTCATACAGAAGGACTGCTGTAGCTGACCCGGAGTTAACATTCCTATAGCGATGTGAGAGATGTAACCATCCTACCGCAAGTGCATTACTTCCTGGTTCATATCACTACCACATTATTATATAGCTTCTCAAAAGTGTTACTGTTTATTTATCGTAATAACACGAGTGTAGGGAAATGCCTAGCTGTATCTCACTGGAGAAGCAGTGCTCTTTCAACAGCTGTTCATAAGAAAAGAACTTTATGTTTATGGTAGATTTTTAAGTGCTGGATTCACTTTTGAAATGTTTAGAGAATTAATAAGATTTTACTTAGACCATTAAGATAAGTAAATTCAATCTTGGTGCTGCCTTTTTTAACTATAAATTGTTTCATGAGTAGTCGAGATATTTTGATATTTCG